CAGCCCCCTGCCCCTCCCCGCAGTTCTCATGGTCCCTCCGTGTGAGAACCGGGAATCACTACCCCTTCTTAGCTCCATCAAGTCACGGAAGCTGCTAAACCCTGACTTCCTCTTTTGGAAATGGATGCAATACCCTCCTCGCGTGGTTACTCAAGATAAGGAGTATGAAATACGGTGCATGCGGTAGCTGCTCAACAAAAGTGACTCTGACATTCAGTCAGTGTGTAAACCTTCACAGAGCCGCCTGGGGCCAGCCCAGCGGGTCCTGAGGGTGCAGGCCTTGGCAAGCAGCACGCCTCGCGTCCCAGCACTTGCAGACAGCCGGGCTCCCCACCCCCACCCAGGCCTCTGACGAGTTACCTGAGTTACCTGCCAGCAACAAGCACCTGACAACATGCAAGGAGGTTCCTGACTTCTCAGAGTCCAGGATCATAACCAGCAAAGGAGGGGAAGCGTACAGAGGTGAGGGGCAGGGGGGCACTGGAGTACCTAAAAGGAGACCCCCACCCAACCCAGAGTCTAGGCTGCACCAAATCCTGAAGGGTAAGTGGGGCAGGGGGTGGCCAAACAAACAACACAGGCCCAGGCCCAGAGACCTCTGCTGCGTCTGAGAGAAAGAGCAGGGCCGGGGTGGTGGGGGCTGGTATCCATATCCCACAAGCAAAAGGGAAGCCCGGTCAGTTTTATTTGGAGACCTCTGACCCCAAAGGCCCTCAGAAATCAGCAGCCCTGGTGGAAAGCAGGTCTCTTACTTGCCTCCGCTCTGGGGAATTCCCCTCTGCAGGAGACTGTGTTATCTTAAGAGCACAAAGCATTCGGCCTTATCTCCTCACCCACCATTCCCTGGGGTTTCTTGGGATGGCCCCTTGCCCCCCACAGCCTCAGCCAGGCAGGTCTGGTCAGCACACACATTCCATTCTTCTCGTCTAGAGCCCAGGGCTGGGCGGGGTAGGACTGGGCCCTGAGGCCTCCTCACAGGAAAACTGGACCCCTCTAGCCTCAGCCAGGGCTCCCCCAGGCCTCCCCACAGACCCTGGCCCACAGTTACTGCCTCTTGCCTGGGCCACTTTATAACCACTTTCTAGAACTCAGAAGAGCATTGGTGAAAAAGTGCCTCTTCTGTCTTTTTTTTCTCCTTTTTTACTTTCCCCAGCTTGACCTCCCCAGCCATGTTTAGGAAAGAGGAAAGCGTACACCAGTATACAGACATCACTTCAAAATAATACCTCTAGGCCTTTTGGCGCACAAGTGTTTCGCTAATGTCGAGTTAAGATTACAAAGTACACTGACTTCAGCACTTACTGTAATAAGAGTGTTGGACAAATTTTTTAAAAGCTCTAATTTTTTTTTTTCTTAAGATCCACTTATTTGGATAGTTCAGGGTCTCTGAAGTGGTAAATGCACTAGGAAATTACCTAAACAGTCTTGTCAGACCAACATTTTTGTCTTGGGTATGAGGCGTGTTGGAAGGCTGCCAGACTGCTCATGACCCTTTTGTTAAGATGTTTCCCTAAGAGCCTGTCACGGTGCGGAGGGGGCCATCTGGACAAGGACCAGGCCTCCAGCCCTCCCACCTACACCTCCTGCTCCCCTCATCCTCTGTGCGTGAAACCAAAGCATGAAATCAAAGTTCTTTTCCAGAACCAGTTCTCCAAGTGGGTGATCCAGCCCCGTGTGCAATCTTGTCCTCTTCCCTGTTTTGCTGTGAAACTATTCTTGAAAGCATTCCAAAGTGGCGTTAGGGAATATTCATATCTCAATTGTTTTTCACTTTAATAAAGAGTGACAGCAAATTTGGCCAGTGCCAGGGAGCTGAAATGCAGAGGAGATAAGATGCCAAGCGCACCTTCTGGCTTGATTCTGCCAGATTTGTAGAAGGGGATCATACCCCTCTCTCCCCATTTCCAGCAGGAGGGCATAGGCAGGACTTGGGAACTTTAACCGGACCCTGTTCTTGCCAGGCAGGGCAGCTTTCTGCCTCCCACTTCTGCCCATGGAGGACGCAGGCTGTCCCCAGGGGCCTGCTGTCCTCAACAGAGAGCCATGGAGCTCTCCTTCTTGCCGATATTGCCTCTGCCCTTTCTGAATCCCCTTAGCAACTGGTGTTTAAGGGATGGGAGAGAATAAAGCAAATTATAGATTGTGACAGAGTTCATTCTAGGTACATCAATTCAGAGGCTAATCAAGCAAATTTGGGATTAGCAGAGGAGGGCCTGACCCTTTGTTAAAGGCCCTGAATTCTGAAAGCTGACCTCTGTCCCCAAACAGGGCCTTCCTTCCTGAGCTCTCTGCTATGTGAGGAATTCTGAATGCAGTAAAAAAAAAAAAAAATCCCTCTTGGATTGCTGCTTTCTGATCTGACCAAGTCGGAATGCGTGGAGAGGAGGAACGCTCCTTGCCCGGGGAAGGACAGCCACATGCAGGAAAACAGACCTCAGAAAATAATGTCCTTGACCCAGGGGCTGCCTGCCGAGAGTAACCATTTGTAAGAATCAAGCACCTGGTATAGCTGCTGGGCTGATCCTTAACCATGAGAAAACTTGGATGAGAAGGAAGATGTTATAGGCTGTGTCCCCCAAAAGTATGCACCCCCACAAATTCATATGGACAAGTCCTAACCTCCAGTACCTACAAATTTGACTATGTTTGAAGATAAGGTCTTTAAAGAAGTTATTCATTTAAAATAAGGCCCCGAATCCAATACAACTAGTGTCCTTAAATCAAGAAATAAGGACCCAGGCAGTTACAAAGGTCAAACCGAGCAGACACACAAGTAGACCATTCCTCAAAAAACCAACCTTGCTGCCACATTGATCTTGGACTTCCAGCCTCCAGAACTGAGAAAATAAATTTATGTGGTTTAGCCACCTGGTCTGCGGTACTTTGGTATGGCAACAGCCAGAGCAACCCGATGTAGGGACCAAGGGCAGGCCTCCCCAACCTCCCCAAGATGTGCTGTTGTGACATGCAGATTATTTTGAGCAGAAAACCAAGGCCCAAAAGACTCAGAAAAAAACTTTGACCTCCCATTCCCCAACTGCGTAAACAGAATTTTGATAGAGGGCCTGCTTCAGGAAGAGAGCTGTCACCTCAGCTAGCTATATTACAATATAAACTAGACGTGGAAGATGGGGAGGCATGTGGCTGAGTCTGTTAAAATTCCTCTCTGTGCCCCCTCGTTGTTTCTATGGGGGCCATCAAGTATTTTGTTTATCAAACATTCACTCTTTTCATATTCCTGTGAATTGCTTCCCTTGTCCTTCGAAGTCTCAGACCCCCACCCCCTTCTCCTTGGTTCAGGATGATAATATATAATTCATTCTCATTCTCCCTGACTGTCTTTGGAACCCATGTCTGTGACCTCCCCTCAAGTATGTAATTAAGCTTCGGGTTTTTTTCTCCTGTTAATCTGTTTCGTGTTCATTTGATTCTTAACGCCAACTAGAAGAACCTCAAGGGGTAGAGAAATTTCTTCCTCTCCAACCCTAGCACAGAAGATGTAGCTGTGGAAACCCTCCTGCAGCCTACGTGAGTGCTGCCACAATCGGCCTCGCCTGGAGCACTGGACTCACGTTCACACAGAGCGTTTCAGCCCTTCTTAACATCCAGTCATGCACACCACAACATGAAGTCACCTGCCCCACTCTACCTTCAGTAACAAGCTAAACTTCAGGAAGTTCAGAGATGAGATTCATTAAGAACTTGCAGGGAGGCTGGGGAGAAACTCAGATACAATATGGCTACACCTGATTCACTAAGAAAGCTTATGCTGCAACCATGGAATCCCTTTAAATCAAATCTCTGAGGAGGAAAACAGAAGAATTAGAGGTGAATCTGCTATGCATGTGGACAATCATGGTCTTGTACTGGCTCGACACAGCTGCCTTTCCCAGAATGCCCTTCCCTGTGGGGCCCTGGGCTTGTGGCGGCCACGAGAGAAACACGAACAAGCTTCGGAAGGCGCAAGAGAAGCACAGCCACCTTGTCGCACTCAGAAGGTCGCGTGGGGCAGACGCGGGGGCCAGCACTCGCACACTGTCACTGCTCTGCCGGCCCCCCTTGTTGGCCTGGGGCAGCCGCTGGGTCCGCAGCTCCTCCGGCTCCCGGGCCGGGTGTGTGCAGCTCTCGGGGGAGGGGCCCCCGCCTGTCCCGCAGGTCACCCGCATCATGGAGGCTGCAGGTGGTGAGAGCCAGACACCGTTCCAGCTTGTCCCTCGTCTTCCCCGATTTACATCCATCTTCCTTCCCAAGCGGGCCCAGCTGAGAGCAGGGACCCCACCTTATACAGACTGCAGAACCAGCGCCCACCAGCGGGCGCTCTGACCCCTACGAGAAACCCCTCATTCTCTACGGCTCCCTGAGGTCCTGCTTCTCTGAATGGACCCTGACTTAGCAGGCGACCCAAACAGGTTAGAGTGTAAGACAAATAACCTGACTGTGTTATATAAATGTCATTCTTTGTGGACTCATCCCCTTGTGATAACAGTTTAAGTGAGCAAGGAACGAGCTCAGTCCAGAGTCCCTGCCCTTCTCACCGGACTCGGAATCGCAAAGCCAGTAGCATGGTGAGCTCCCCCTCCCCCTGCCGACCCCTTCTGCGCATGCTCTCCCGTCACTCTGCCTGCCTTCCGCTCCTCTCACACCGTCCGGGGCTAGACCCTCAGCACTTCAGTCCTGCCACCATACCCTCTACCCTCAGGCCTACACTGCCACCCCACAATCTCCCCAAACCTCTGCTTCTAGCAAGTCGCCCTTCAACGCTCTTCAAAGGCTGTGTCCTTCCAGATCAGATCTAAGCCCCCTGCCTAGATGGTAAGACCGTTTATAATCTGCCCCCACCCTCCTGCCCTGCCATCTGCCCCACTGCTCTCTGCCACGTGAGGTCGGCCTCATCTCCCCTGTTGAGGTCTGTCTGTGATGCCCACCCCACCCCTGGGCCATCACTCGGATGGTCCCTGTGCTGTAGGAACTCATTCTTTAAGGCCCCACTCCAGGCTCACCTCCTTCACAAAGCCTTCATCAAGGCCATCACAGGCAGCACGTACAAGAAAGGGTTCTGGAGCCGGCCAGTCTGGGGTCAAATCCTGCCTTTGCCCTTACCGGGTCTCCATGACTTTGGTTGGATTACTTAATCTTTCTGTGCCTCAGATTCCTCCACTGTAAAATGGGGGGTAACTGCACCAGCCTCGCAGGGTGTATGTGGGAACTGATGAGTTAAGTCACATGAAGCATTTGTGTCTTGCGTAACAGACAGAAAGTGCTTGATGAGGGTTAGTTCTTATTTTAGTTTTATTACTAACTGACCATCCTGACCCTCTCCAATACTCTTTTCTCCTGAATTTCTACACCAAGTATAGTAAAGACCACATCATTCAAGCCCTTAATTACAGTCAAGTTCATACTGTTCACTGAGATTTCATGTGTAACAAAGAGGAACGGGAACATTTTATCTGCAATCGGAGCATGAGTAAGCAGGAGCTTATTCATGAATGTAAAATATTCCTAGTTCCTAACATGCAGAATAAGCAGGAGAACTTGCCCTGCTCCTTCCTGATTGCATTCAACTCCTAAGGGTCCTCGGAGGAAAAAGGGGAGACAAATTGTCAGGAATATGAAGACATGAAAATACCCACAAAATGGTCCTGAAGCCCATCCTCCTGGGTTTCAGGTGCAATTTAACAGCAAAAAGATGACATTTTGAAAGACATGGTTTCACATCAAGAAGAGCTGCCTGGAGGGTGGCCTGATCAGAGGCAGGGACCTAGGCTGGCATCTGTTCCTCAGGAAATTGAACAGCACCAAGTTATAGGAGACCCTGAAGGCCCAGGGCCCAGAGGGCCACTAGATGGCAATAGCATCAGGGCGGGGCCAGTCCAAGATGCTGGGCAGGCTCCCAGCACTCCCTCCATGGGCCTTCTGGTTTACCACCCAGACTGCCAAAGGCTTATGAATTAGTCATTTCACAGTCCAAGACAACATGGGAGTCATGCAGCACTCATTTTGGGGGGGCCTCCCTTTCTTCAGCTTTAAAATGAAGGGATTGGTGGAACTAGAGGACAGCTCACAACCACCCACTTCTAAGACACTTCACAATGCCTTTCTGCACAGTCAGCGAGCAAAGGTAATAGAAGAGGATCCTGAGAGTCTGATAGCCGCAAATATTACCCAAAGCGATCTAAGGATTCAATGCAATCCCTATGAAAATTCCAACGGCATTTTTCACAAAAACAGAAAAAAACAATCTTAAAAGATGTAGGGCACCACAAAAGACCCCAAATAGCCAAAGCAATCTGAGAAAGAACAAAGCTGGATGCGCCATGGTCCCTGATTTCACGCTATGTTACAAAGCTACGGCAATCCAAATAGTATGGTACTGGCATAAAAACATAGGCGATACAATAGAGAGCCCAAAAATAAAGCCATGCATTTATGGTCAATTAATTTATGACAAAGGAGCCAGGAATATGCAATGGGGAAAAGATAGTCTCTTCAATAAATGAGACTTTGATTTCCCTTTCCCTACGAACAGAGCAGTACTAGGAGGGAGAAAAAAACAGAATCCTATCTGTGCCCAGAAGCTGCTGGAACTGGAGCCCTGCCTGCTGAGAGCTGAGAATGAATATGGCAAGGTGTGTGACTTTGCTGGGTTCAAGTCCAAGCTCTGAAACTTACAGGCAAGTTACTCGATTTTTTGTGAGACCTCTGTGCTCTCAGCCATTACATGAGGCTAATAATATAATACTTCATGCACTTATTGATCAAAGTGTTAGGAATGTGAGGTAGAAAGATAGACATGAGCAGCCGGAGAAGGGGAAGGTAAGGTTCAAAGAGAAAGCCGCCCAGACAAGGTTCCAAGGAAAAGCCGCCCAACCTCTGCCCAGGGAGGGGATCCCACGTGAAGACAACAAAGGTTTGGCGGAGAGATAACTTCCCCCCAGCAGGATCTCCACGGAGGCTAAAACCAACAGACCTAGAACTGCCCAAATTGCTCCTCAGCACGGGAAAGGACACGCCCCTGAGCGGGACTGGCTATACAGATGGACCTGTCAATCAAATAACCTCACCTGGTCAAAGAGGCGCCTCCAGCCAGGATGCAATATACAAGCCTCCGGCCTAAAAGTTGGGTGCCTTTGTCTACCTTGGCTGTGGCCCCCTCCTCCCCTGGAGTGTATTCAAATAGAACTTTCACTCTGCTTCGCTACTGTGTCTCTGCCTTTCAAGTCTTTTTTGCAGCGGGGACAAGAACCGAGGAGAACAAACTTCACCCGCAGCAAAAGTATAAAGCATTTTGCGTAGTAACCAAACCACAGGTGCTCAAATCATTAGTCCATTCAGCAAATGTTAATGGGATCCCCACTAAATGACAAACACTGTTCCAAGGTACTGCAGCACCGTCTTAAACAAAAAAAGATTCCACCTTATGAAGTTTACCTTTAGAAAGAAAAGACAGATAATAAGAAATAACCAAAATAAACTAAAAGTCAGATTTCTTCAAAAGCAAAAGAGAAGAGTATGAAGAAAAGTTGGGACAGCAAATGGAATGGAGATGGGGGTGTGATTTTAGGTAGAGTCCTGAGAAAAGGCCATTTGGAGAAGGCAAGCCTTGAATGGACACCCTAGCCAATGCGGTTGTTATTTGTCCTCCCGCTGTCTGGTACTCTGGGTTTAATACCAACACTTTTCCTGGTGTCCAAAGAGGCATTTGAATTCAACATACCTCACAAAATAAAATGTCAGAGCTGGAAGAGAACTTAGAGATTCTCTAGTTCATTTTATAGATGAAGAGCTGAGATGAGACCCCGAAAGGTGGACCAACAAGCCCAGGGTCACACAGTTAATTCAAAGACGGACATTGGTGCAATTTCCAGTCTCCTGACCATGAGACCAAAGTTCTTGCCTCTGTTTCTACTCTGTTGGCTCAGGCTGACTCAGACCCACGTAAAACTGCTGCTTAGGGCCTGGAAGATTTCTATCCTGCTGGCATATTTCCGCCTTCATTCTGGCTCATGGTTATTAGCTGTGTTACCTGAATGGAAACCTTTTACAGTAAAAAAAATTATCAGAGATTTGCAAGAAGACATCCATAAACCAGTGACCCCAGTTTCAACAATTAAGAGTTAAAGGTATATGTCAACTATACTTTAATAATAAAATTAAAATTAAAAATAAAAAGTTAAAGGCCATAGCTTGCAGTGGTCACAGGGTATCAGGAATGCCCTACCCACAAATGCAAACCACATGAGAGCTACCTATGTGTGACTCCTCCCTGGGCTGTAAGGATGTGTTTTTATTGTTTCCTTTCTCAGATTGTCATCAAAATGTGAAAACAAAATGTTGAATCGTGTAGAATCCTGGAGCACCAGAGAAGGTATCCACAGAGCAGAGTTTAAGGAGCACCACATTTGGTACATGTCTTTGAAGGGCTCCTTATTTTAGGAAAAATCCTTGGGGACGTTTGCAAGAACCGCTAAGGCTACAGGGAGCTGCAAATGCTGATCAACTGGTTTTGCTTCGTTTGGAAGCTGCCCTGGCCCAGAAGGATGACATAGGAGCCTTAATACCTCTGCACAACAGTTAGAGACACAGAAACGTCCTGGCCATTAAGGTGGGGATCTCAAAGCACCCTCCATTCCTTCATTCAACAGACAGTTATTGAGCACCTACTTGGTGCTAGTCGCTGTTCTAGGCACTGAGAATACAACAGGAAACCAAACAAAGCCCCTGACATAAAGATGCTTATGTTTGAGGGAGGAAGAAGGAAATAAACAAATCAGGGAGTTAAAGTATGTTGAGAGCCTAAGTAAATGGGTCAAAGGCAAGGGTGGTGCTGGAGGCCAGGAGAGCGAAGGCTTGTTACTCCCAGTAAGGTGTCAGAGAAAACCTCTCCAAGGAGGTGACACTGGAGGGCAAAGAGCTTCTCAAGGGAAGAACATTCCAGGCATAGTGACAGCAAATACAAATGGAACAGCAAGGAGACCCCTGCAGCCAGAGCTCAATGAGGGAAGGAGAGACGGCCAGAAGAGCAGTGAGGTGCAACAGACCTTTGCCAGCATGTGAGCTTGGCCTCGAGTGAGAAGGGGAGCAATAGAAGGTCAGGAGTGAGGAATAACATTTTTGACTAATGGTTTAAGAGTCAGATCTGTTGCTGTGCTAAGGAGAGATGAGAGGGAGACTGAGGCAGAAGCAAGCGACCACTTAGGAAACAATTGCCTTGACCCAGAGGAGACATGCATTGACCTAGATCCACGCAGTAATGGAGGAGGTGGGGAGAAGGGACTAGATTGTAGATACGGAAGATGGAGCTGATGGGAACTGCTAATCATCTAAATAGCAGATATAAAAGAACTAGAAGAGTCGGGGGTGATGCCAAAGTTTTAGCCTGCGCAGCCTGAGATGACATTTATGGAGATCGAGTCCACGGGAGGTAGTGGGTGAGGGTGGGTCAGGGAGAAGGAAGGTAAGGGAGAACTTTCCCACCAAGTGTTCAAGCTCTGCTCTGGATTTATAAAGTCAGCCTTGTATAAGGTTGGGCTGTGTGATCCAGCAATTCCACTTCTGGGGATACACCCCAAAGGATCCACAACAGAGACTCTTACAGATACTTGGAAGCCCGCATTCCCAGCAGCATGACTCACAACAGCCAAAAGGTGGAAACAACACAAATGTCTGTCCACAGATGAACTGCTAAACAAACGTCCCTCATTCAATGGGATCTTACTCGGCCTGAAAAGAGAAGAAAGTTCTGGCACATACAACACAGATGAACCTTGAGGACATTATATGCACTGACTGTTAGCCAGACACCAAAGGGGAGATACTGTGTGATCCCACTGGTAGGAGGAACCTAGAGTAGTCAAATTCAAAGACAGAAAATAGAATCACGGGTGCCAAGAACCGGGGGTAGGGGGAAGGGGAAGTCATTGTTTAATGGGGACAGAGTTTCTGTTTAGGAGATGAATATGCTCCGGAGATGCACAGCGGTGATGGGGGCACCACAGTGGGGACGTCCTCAATGTCAATGAACTGTACACCCAAGAATGGTTGAAGTGGTCAACTTTATGTTATGTATATTTTACAATATTTTTTAAGAAGATGGTGATCTCA